CGCTTATTTCTTTACAGCTTCTAAAGGCCTGCTGGATGCTGCTCATTTTTGTTACCTGATGGCCCAAGTTGGTTTTGGAGTTTACACAAGGAAGACAACAAAGCTTGTCTTAATTGGATCAAATCATAGGTTTGGCTATCCTTTTTTTTTTTTTTTTTTAAAAACACTATTTTTTAGATGCAAAAATAAAAGCTTAATAGCTTGAGAGACTGAGTTACACTGCTCCCCTTGTCATCACTAGCCACAGCTGGTTTTGAGATAACTATTTGATGCCCTGTCGTTGTTTGAGGAGTAGAAGTAATTGATACTGTGTGTCTAATAGAGCTATGTTTCTGACTTTATTTCTGATAGTCTTTATTTATTGTCAGCATATATATTCTCATTGTTAATTAATGTTTTTCCTCTCCCACTCCCGAATAGCTTGCCATTTTTTAAGTTTGCCACCAATGAAGCCATTCAAAGAACAGAAGCCTATGAATATGCACAGTCACTAGGAACTCAGCCTGGCTGCTTGCCCAACTTCCAGGTGAAGAGCTGGTTTTTTTCTTTCTCTTTTTTAATTTTTTTTTATTTTGGCAGGTTTTATGCTAGGTTTTAATTTCTCATGTGCTGTGTTCTGCACAGCAGGTGTTTTATCCATTGTAACCTGAAATATTTGTGGATAATGTAGTGTGAGATAGCGTTTTTATTCTTGTCACTTAAATCTCCTTTTTACATTTTTCATCTGTACATTCTGAACTTCTGAATTTAAATTTTGTTGTTATCGTAACTATATTCCAAAAGAAGAATCCAGCAGAATGTGTTAGCACTAGCTGTAGACAAGTAGATAACTTCCATTGGATACATTGGGTGGAAGAGGAGAACTGAACGCTTTTTCCCTATTTTTTTTTTTTTTCCTGCCTAGTATAGATGTGATAGTGGGATATCTGAGCTTTCAACTGAAAAGACAGACTGCCTTTCATTTGATACTTCTAAAAATGTTCTGGTCCCTTGGTTTATTTCACCTGCTTGCATTCCATAGGTTTTCAAATTCATCTATGCTTGCCGACTAGCTGAAATGGGACTTGCTGCTCAGGCTTTCCATTATTGTGAAGTGATTTCCAGAACTGTCCTTAAAGATCCGCATTACTATTCTCCTGTCCTTATTGGCCAGCTAATTCAGGTAACATAAGAAAGAATTAAGTATTTGTGGCTTCATATTGTAGGTGGTAAGCTGTGGTTAAAGTTGCCTCTGTTGGCTGGTTAACTTAAACTTTACTATGATTCCTTCTCTAGATGTCATCACAACTACGCCTGTTTGACCCACAGATAAAAGAAAAACCAGAACAGGAATCTTTTATTGAACCTTCATGGTTAATAAGGCTTCGACATGTGGATGGACAGATCAAGGTACAGAATGTACTTTTCAACATGAAGTATTGTCTTCTAAGGATTACTGTAAATCCAATTTTTTAAATGGTTTTGTTCATACTGCTAATTACAGAAACATACGAAGTGATCTTATGATATATTTATGTTGTAAAGCGCAAGTGTTAGGATTTAAACCAAGTGGATTTACCACCCTTACTGCCCTAAGATTCAATATGGAATAGTCAAAGTGTGGTGTACATTATATAAGACCCGCTTTTCTTAGTACTGCAAGGCAAGGAGATTTGCAAGGCTTGTTAGGTTGCGGTAACTCTTGCTGTATGCAGAGGAACTGCTTGCCAGAAAAAAAGAAATTGTGTGTGAATTAGTGTAGCTACATTGTACCAGAGTGGAAATAATTATCACTTAAAGAGCTCTGTTAGAAATTTGAACCTTTAGCTAATTAGCTAAGCTTCCATCAAAAAACCAAAAACAGAAATCACAAACAAAAAAAACCCACAAACAAAAAAAAATTTAGATGTTTTGGTTGAACTTGGTCTGCAAATGGCTGACAACCCATTTTTTGACTTAAAAACCTGTGTGCTGTTTTCATTCTTAAGATTTCATTTGTTATATGCTCCCTTGGTTATGAACTTAATGTCTGGTACAGTTAATAAGATCTTGCTTTTTTGTGCAGGAGGGTGCAATAGCTTACAACACAGACAGATCCACCCCACCACCGTATGCATGTAGTACACCAAGCTCTGAATTAGACCATGCTAGTCAATGTGATGGGGCAGGAGTTGGCCGTGACGTGGGTCCCAGTGCTGAAAATGCATTGCTAGCATCCTTGTTACCCAATATGGCTCAACAGATGCAAAGCGTGCAGCTGATGCCTTCAGGTTAGTGTTTCATATCCTTCTTCGTGACAGAGAAAACAAATGTTTTGGGTTTCTGGTATAAGAAATCACTTAAGAGGGTGGTAGAAACAGTGAGATTTGACTTCTTCATTGTATCATTTTATTCATAGGGTAAAAGGTTCACACAGAGGAATTTCTGTTTAGTTATAACTCTCTAACTGTTTTTGTGCTGCAGTACCTCAGGCTGTCCTTGATGGGTCAGCTGCTATGATTCCTCCGGGTGACCAGGAAGCTGTCCAAAGTGTCCCTTTCTATTCAGTGGCTTCTCAGCCTGTTGGTCCAGGAGCTGGCTTTGCACCTCCAGGATTTTCAAATCCGTATGGAACTGAACCGTCGCCGCTGTATTTAGGGTCAGCACTACCACCAGGAGGGCCACTACCACCAGGAGAAAAACAGACAAACCTGGAAACAGGTCTGGGGTCTTAGTAAACGGCTTTCCTTCCTTACAAGGGGAATGAAGTATTTTGGGGAATAATGTAAAAAATCTCAATATTTAGAAAATAGTAAGTCTAGTCTTGGGTAGCGAAGTTTAAAAACACCATGTGATGGTACAGAAACAGCTGTGGAAAGTTACAGTATTCATCCTGCTTATTTGGCTTAGTTTAGAAGAGAGGTCAGGCTCAGCAGATTATGATTTAGGCCCTAATGGGTAATCACTGAGTGCAGCGGAATTGACAGTTGTGTTTGCAAGGTCTGTGATTGGCGCCTCAGGGATTTCTGCCTCTGGATGTCAGCTTCTAGGACCCTGATAAGTTTAATGCTGTGACAGCAGAACCCAGTGCATGTGAAGGCAGGTATATGCAAGTTCGGGAGAGCTGTTTTAGAGATGTGAAGAACCCTAAACTGCCTGATACTGATGGCTGCATCCCTTCAGCCTGCTCTGGCCTGTGTTTAGAACAAATGTAATACCCATGCAGGAGGAAAAAAAAAAATCACAGCAACTGCAGTTCACATTCTTTAGAAGACCAAGTTCTTTCTAGCACAAAATTCATAACTAGTGAAAACTTTTTCCTTAAAAGTGGTGTTGTGGTGCTTGGAAGTGTTGTGTTCCCCCTGCTAACATAATCTAATTTGTTTTTTAAGGAATGCAGAGAATTGC